TAAAATAATATCATCTGCAACAACATGGATTGACCTGGAGATCGTCATTCTAAGGGAAGTAAGCCAGAAAGAGAAAGATACCATATGATATCACTTATATGTGGAATCTTAAAAAAAAATTAGACAAATGAACTTATTTACAAAACAGAAACAGACTCACAAAAATAGAAAAACTTATGGTTATCGGGGGGAAGTACGGATAAATTGGGAGTTCGAGATTTGCAGATACTAACTACTACTATATATAAAATAGATAAACAAGTTTATACTGTATAGTACAGGTAACTATATTCAATATCTAGACTTCAATTAAAAAAATACTATTGAATCTATTTGTCCTCTTCAAGGAATAATGTGAGAAAGATTTTGTTTTTTAATTTTTCCCCTATTTAAAAAAAAATTACAGTTGATTTACAGTGCTGTATTAATTTATGATGTATAGCATAGTGACTGAGTTATACATATATATATAAACATTATTTTTCATTACAGGTTACTACAAGCCTTTGAATACAGTTCCCTGTGATATATATTAGGACCCTGTTGTTTATCTATTCTGTACATAGTAGTTTGTAGCTGTTAATCCCAAACTCCCAATTTATCCCTACCCAACTCCACCCCCGTAACCGTAAGTTTGTTTTCTCTGTGAGTCTGTTTTGTAAATCAGTTCGTTTGTGTCATTTTTTAAAGATTCCACATATTAGTGATTAAAGACTTTGGTTTTTAATCCTTAAACTCAAAAGCAATAAATCTGGCAATAAGCAAATTCCACCGGAGCCACAAGTTTGCTTCTAGTTTTTAAATCCTCCCTCATTGGAAGAGACAAGTATTGGAGTAATGTAAAGTATCTCTGTATTGCCAACACACTCCTACCATTGGGTCACCTGCTGAATGGAGCCAAACTGTAAATAAAACCTATATAATAAGTGCTGAGTAACCAATGAGCTGACCGATAGCAAATCTTTACAGAATAGGCTAGCAGGGCCTTTTCAGCCCATTCTTTTCTGAAATCTTTCCCAGAAGTGCTTGAGCAGAACAGCAGATAGTAGCTGTCAGCCTGGGTCTTGGGTTTTAAGGGCCATGGTATTGTAATAGATTGCAACTGAACTGCTGCAGTGAGCCGTTAAGTTTTCTGCAGTCTTCAAAAATGCTTCAGACTGCATGAAAGAGAATGAGAACACCACAGCTAAAAATCACTGAAGAACATTCCCATCATTTTACAAACAGAACCAGGAAAAATAAAAATTAAGATGTCTAATGGATATCTACTAAACATAGTGTTTCAGTTTTATATAGAAAGATATAAATGTTTAAACTATCCCTAAGTTAGTATTAGGCAAGCTCCCTAAATGACTAGAAGTTTCTAATAATCACTCAATGCACAAAGAGGGAAACTAAATTGTACCAGAGATGGGCACCCTTCGCACCATCTTGCTGTGTTAAAGCAATCTCTGTATTCAATAATAAATGCAATTAAGCACTCCCTCATCACCATAGGAGAAAGCACTAATCAGGTGTTGTGCTGTCAAGTAACTGCTGCTAGCAACCTAGCAATCATTACTGCAATCTATAGACAACCAAATTCAGTAAACATACATTCATTTACTGAAACATAGGTTCAGAAGCATCCTGCCACCTGGGTTGAGAGCAAAGCAGAGGGTAGTAGAGTATCCCAAAGCATTCTTCAACACACCACTTACAAAGCTCCCAAATAATGTAACAATCTAGTTTAGAGCTCAGAGACCCAAGATACATGTTCTGAAAACAGAGATAAATTCCTAGAAGCCTGTGAACCACATAAAAACTCTGACTTGTAATCTTTTGAGAGCAGATTTTCTGAGAAACTGCAAATAACATTTTTCACATATATATGCTATGATCTCTAGAAAGGGTTGGAAAAAACCCTATGGCTCATGCCCTCTAGAATAAATTTTTGAAAGGAAAAAAAGCTTCCCATGTTTATTCTAAGAAGTTTTTCTTCAACTTGCACTTTCAGGCCTCTCTACCAAGAGGGAATTCACCGAATGTCCCTTACTCTGAGAATGAAAGTCCTTTTCCCTTATCCTCAGAGTCAGCAAACCCCACAAATACCAGGGCTGCTGATCTAACACAGCTGTTGGCCACAGAGCAGCAGCTGGCTGCTTTCCCTCTGTGAGCTGGGCCAATCGCTGATGAGACTCATAAGTCCTTTCAAGCTTTCACAGCTCTCTAATTCCTGTGTCATCCTTACCACTTGAATGATAGGTAAATTTGGTGACCTACTTTTCTAGGGGTGTCTGAAAACAAGAGTCATGAAAATTGAGACTGAAAACTTAATGGCTTCCACTGGGCCAGAAGAAACCTAACATATTTTTCCATGTCTCTCTATTCAGAGTGGCCTTCAGAATCTGCCTTCAGTGAACTAAATGAACAGCTGGTTACCTTAGTGGGAATTCCACAAGGAGATAAATCCCTTCTTGCTACCCTCAGTATTTCAATGGAGTGCCTCTTGGCATGAAAGAGTTCCTAACTAAGCCTCACTGGTTTGGCCCAAATTCAAGAAGAGTCCATAAAGTCTGCAACCTGGGAAAATGAAATGGAGAATGTGAATATTATAAGAATATCTGAAACAGTTCCAAAATAAGAGGAAATGACTTCTTAAAAATTTAACATGATTCTGTGAGAACTGAGCTAACTAGTCACTGAATCACAAAAGCAGCCCTCAGGAATACAGCCTACTCCAATTATTGCTTAGAAAAGCCCAGTCCTTACAGATTCATTCTGATGTCACAGCATACCTGCAACGTAAGAATATCATTCCCATTTTACTAATTGGAAACAGGCTGAGGTCAGGTGGGGAACTTACTCAAGGTGCCACAGCAAGGAGTGTCAGAAGACTTGAATTTCAAAACCTGTGCTCATCACCATGCCACCGTCCCCTTCTAAAACTCGCCTCCCTTTGATCTCTCAGATCAGCTAAGCCCTAGCCTTCTCTAAATGCCTCCTCTCAAAGCAGAGTGCTTCCATGTGTCACAGTTTTGACCACAAAGACAATCACAATGACTCAAAATCTACACTCCCAATTCTTACTTTCTAGGACTCATCTCTCTCAAAAGGCCAACATCTGAAGCTAAACGAAAGTGAGCACATTATCTTCCCACAGAATGTCAGAAGGATCTTAAAATAGCAAGACCAGCCACTTTTCTATTAAAATTTTTTCAGTGTCAACTGAACCATCAGCTAGTGTTCCAGATGCAGTAAGTACTGGTGTATGACTGAAGAGCAGCTTTAGCAATAAGGAAGTACAGAATAGCCTGGAAAGTTCCCTAAACTCATCCCCTCCCCCCACCAGGTTAGCAGCAACAGAAGCAGCAAACCACATGCAGGGGGTAGTCGCCCCAGAGCAAGCTGGGCCCGGCCAGGCTTACTTACCTGTAGACGACAGCAGGGATGCGCTTCCAGGACCTGAAGCTTGCTACACTCTCTAGTTCTTTGTCAGTGATCCAGGCAGGCACTATTAGCTCCTGTGGATAGCTACCACACAGCCTAATGGGGAAGGTGAGAAAGAAGGAGGGGGGAAGAAGACAGAGGGAGGAGAAAAGAGGGAGAGACACTAGTGAGCCAGCATAAGGATGTGGATCAAGCTACCCCAGAGCCAGTTAAAAGGCAATGAGGAACGTGACTTCAGTCTTGGCCTACTCAGTAGAACAGGCTGCCTAAATTGTTTACTTATGTATATGCTAAGTGATACTATCTTGGATTATTCCACTTGATGCTGTCTTTTGGGAATCTAGCAATCTTAACTTCAACGAAAAAGGGGGGTTAAGAGGCAGTCGCTCCATTGTTAACTGTTGTATCCAATATATGGGTCATCTCTAACTGCACAAGTGCCCAGTCCAACTGCAGAGATGAAAAGTCTGTGTTCCCTCTACCAGACCTTCGTCTTTTCAGGGAAATGTGTGAAGGACAAAAGCCCACAATTTCAAGTTTCCAGAGACCTCAGACTAACATAACAGGATGTCCTAATTATAGGTAACAGGTGCAGCCATGGGTAGGTAGAACCAGCGCTACAGGTCAGCCCCACCTGCACACATTATCACAGCTTCATTAAGCCAAGTTAGTAATATTGTTAATCATAATTTCTATAAAACATACTTCAGAACAAACTACACTGAGGGGAATAAAAGCTGTTTTCATTGGGGAAAATACTAGTAAGTGCATACTAGTTAAGCTGGTGCCCAAGAAGCAATATATCTGATAGGTTTTTTACTTCCAAGACAGTGTCTCTCTGGGTAACCCAATATTCCTTCTCAACAATCAAAGCAATTAAGGCCTTTAATCCAAATCCTAAAATACACAAATAACTCCTCCTGCTCCTCCCCCTTCTCCTCCATGACCATCACCCCTATCCTGCCCTAGTGTATTTTACACATTAGGGGAAGAGGCAGAAAAAAACAAAGTGACTTAGGAATTGGGGGTTTTAATCATTCTGCACTGAGTATCTCTCTTGTTCTCAATTTCCAAAAAATTAAGTACCAGGGATTTAAAAGCCACTGAACCAGGAGAATAGTCATGACCAAGAGTAGATCTATAAAATTCCTAATATCTGTCCACAAACTCCTAAAAATAACCTGGTACACAGTGATCATAAGTTAACACTATGAGTCTTGTTCCTTTTACCTTGTTTTAAACCTAAGAGTAAATTTAGTTCCTGTTCTTCCTTTGTAGTAGAAAGAACTTTTCAATGTCCTAAAGACTGGTTTTTGAAGTGGAAATAGTACATTCAAAGAAGTTAACTTTTAAAATCCCTATTAAATAGGGATTTTGAAAACAATAGCTTTTGAACTCCAATCTTTTTTTTAACTCTAAACTTCCCCCCCAACAAGTTTACTTAATTCAGTTTTTCAAAATTTCACCCAATATTCTGATCACTATATTTATTCACTGTCCTATAAACACTACACTACCTAGTAGCCAGCTCTTCAGTAATAGCTGCTCATTTGTAGATAAGCAGTTTCCAGTATAGGAAATGTGGGTTACACATGAACAAAGCCTGTGGCAGCCTCAGACTCCCTGAGGCGTCCCCTCCACTCTTCACCTTCCATTCTTTGCTTTGACTTGTCACTGAGAACAGGCAAAGAAGGTATGACAGGTCTGTGACTCCTGATTCTTCACACCACTTCAGGTTCTTAACTCCTTGGCCAAGGTCCATATTAAGAGCTGTGTGTAGTAATCAGCTGTAGTTCTACCAATGAAAAATGAAAAGCTCTGATGCCTACCCACAAATAGCCCAGGAAAACAGTTATAATTTGAGGCAGCTCAAAAGGACAACAGAGTGATTAATGCCTCCAATTGCCGCAGGGAAACGTAAGAGAAGGATGTATTAACTTAAAAATTCTGGACAATTTTGTTTTATAGAAACCTGGATCACCAAAATCAAAGTACTTCGCTGCCCTCACCAAAGTTCTTAAACCTTTTAAGAGAACAGGTAGCGGGAAATATTTTTAATAATGGTTACATATTTAATGGTTCAATGATCACAGCTGTGAAGTTCATTTTCAATCAACAAATCAAAGAATAGTAATACGTATGCTTACTTCATAGAATCTAGAGTAAAATTAGAGTAAAAACCAGTTCATAAGTGTTTTATTACTGATCCCATCTCTAATGTGATGTCGAACGATGATGAGAATAGAAACTGCCTGCTTGCAGCTAAGCACAGTATCATCTGACAAGCCCATGCCAGGAAGAATGGAGGCCTGGAGGGGATAGAAAGGAAGGTTCCTGGATCCCATTAAGTAAGGATCTCTTTCCACTCCAGTAATAGCAATGGGAATAGAAGGCTCAGAAAGTTCTGAAGATCATGCATTTAGATTTAATAAATAAAACCCCATTTGAAAGAAAAAGTAAGTTCAAGTGTTCTGCCGCATGAGAATTGGGGTTTCTGCAAAGGCAGTGGCCATGAAACATAGTCCACAGGGACCTAATACAACTCACTTGTACTTCTCATTGATGTTGGAAATCCTCCAGGCATTGTTCATATCAAAACCCATCCGCTCCACTTCATTTTTAAACCTTGACGTTACGTGCTCCCCTAGAGACCAAAGACAGGTAGCAGAAAGGAAGAAATAAATATGATTTTGCAAAACAGGTGGAATAAAAGCAGAGCTACCCTGCTCAGTCATTTTTTTAAAAGGGCAGGTATTGTATAAATAATATTTAGTTTTAAAATTCCCTTCCAGGATAAGACTATAAAAAGAAATGAGAAAATTAATTTTGATCAAGAATTACATTACCTCATCTAATCACTACTATCAACTCTGAGGGTAGGATCCCTGAGCTCATTTTACAGAGGACAAAACTGAGACTGAGGAGGTTATTACGGTGGGTCTGATTCCGAAACCCATATTCTTGTCACTATACAGGTGACTTTCCTATTTCCACACTCAGAATGGTGGTATATGTAAGAAATAAAACAGTAATGGTGAATAGTAATACAGATCTACAACTCATCAGAAACCCTTTGCGTCAGATTTTGGAACTTGAATTTCCTGGTGCATCTATTATAATACTAGGTTAATGCTCTCAACAGCATTAACCAAACATTAACATTTCTATAGTGAAATGCATGGATAATTCACACTAAATGGGATAAGTAAGGCAACAAACAGCTTCATGTCAGCTCAGATCAGGTCAAGCCACCCAAAAAAAATAAGAAAATTCTTTTGATTTTACAGATTACAGAACTGCAATTAAAACTTGTGGTTGCCAGGGGGGAGGAGGGTGGGAACGGACAGACTGGGAGGTTCGAGATTTGTAGATACTGACAGGTATATATAAAATAGATAAACAAGTTTATACTGTGTAGCACAGGGAAATATATTCAAGGTCTTGTAGTAGCTTATGGTAAAAATATGAAAATGAATATATGTATATTCGTGTATGACTAAAAAATTGTGCTGTACACCAGAAATTGACACAACATTGTAAACTGACTATAAGTCAATTTAAAAAAAATCATGGGACTGTAACTGCCAATACCCAGGAATCTCAAGAAACACCACACTATTAAGTGCTGAGCATTTGTAAGAACATCCATCCAAACAAGCATAACCTGCCTACATCTGCCCTAATGATTCTGATTTCTTCTTAAGATAGTGAGCAACAAAGACAGAAATGAACCTAACGTTAAAGGCATTAAATCTGAAATAACTTCCTTCCCTGAAAACAGAGTCCTAGGGCAGTAATTAAACACACACACATACACACACAGCAAAAAAAAACCAAAAAAACAAACCATTAAGCAGTACCTCTAACATACAGTGTTATAGGTTGTAAAACAAATGGTGGGGGGGGCTGGGAGAAATTACAATAACAAATAAAAGCACAAAACAGACTGCTGTTGATCAAAGCATAAAGCTTTGCTCTCCTTGGAAGAGGAGCTTCAGAAAAGGAAACAGCAATTACTTGAATTAAGGACAGTTCTATAAAACTACTTCCCATTTAAACTGCTTTCTAGAGTTTAAAACTAGGTATTACACATTTCCTGAAGGAGAGCTATAAAAAGAGGTTCAGAGATATAGGAAGAACTTATCAGCTGAATCTATCCCATTTTGGAAAAGTTTTAAAAGCAATACAGGCTTCCAAATAGGAAAAAGTATCTGAATTGGAGTGCCATCTGCTTACAGATTGCAAGGAACAGTGACCATCAGGAATACTAGACAGAGGATCTTTCAATTATAATCCCAATATTAAAGCTGTGAAACTATGACAACTTCCAAGTTCACTGACTAATGAGATTTTTCCCACCCTGGGATACAGCTCCAAGTCTTTGCAGAAGGTTTTTTAATTAATGGTCATTTACAGTAGTACCTCTATCTTAAACACACAAATACCCTAAATAGGATCCTATAATTTTAAAAAAATCACTGGCCAAAGAACCACCACCACTTTCTCCGCTGCCATCACCGCAACCACCCTCCTCCTCTACTGGTAGTTTACTACAAGAACCACTGCCCAAAAAAGGGCTTAGAACCACTATCCCCACCTTGTAATTCTGAGCTACACACACAGAAATATACACTGAGTAGTGAGCATAGAAAATCTGTTATTTCAAGTTCCTTGAGAACAAGGAGTGAGTTTTAATTATCTCTGTATCCCCTAAAGCAGTGACTTCATAAACTTTGAAGCTGACCATTACAACCCACAATAAGCATGCTTTTTTATCACAAGTCAATACAACATGTTTATCTTTTTTTAAGTTCACAAAACACTCACCCTTACTATGTGTAATACATTGGTATTTTCTATCCTAAATGTTTCATGTCATATTGCATTTCTTAAAACTTTGATTTCATGACCCACTAGTAGATCACAACCTACAGTTTGAAAACCACTGCTTGAAAAAAAATTAGATCTTACACACATGAACAATTCAACTGGCTTTTGCCAAGTTGTTCTAGAAGTTAACTTGGGTTTATTCTCCCAGAAAAGTGAATGCCAAGCACATATATCGCTGGATTTCCCTTAAAAACTGTCCTCTCAGAATTCTCATGTCTCCATTCACTCAACATTAGCTATAATATCTCAATTTAAATATTAGGGCGGTTAAGTTTTTTGTTTGGCTTTATATTTCCATTTCAACCCTTCCTATGTGCCTGTCCCATCCTTAAGTGAAGATCTGTTCCTTGTTAATATTTTGTATTTCTTGAACAACAAGCAGTCCAGCAATTCTTATTTTAATGGGAATAACTTCTTCAAAGCAGTTAAGTCCCTCTATTATAACCAGTGTCAACCAGCAGTCTAACCCCCACTCCACCCCCCAAAAAAATCTAGCTCCCTGGGTGATTTTGAGTACTCAAGCCTACAACTATACACAGCTTAAAGGCTTGGGATAGAAGAGCCATGCCCTTGCCCAGGATGCGAGGGAGAATAGTACCAGGGTCAGATTTTCAAATACGGAGAGAAGAATCATTCTTTTCTATGAACAAAGGTCCCAGTACAGTCATCTAGATGTACACCTACTGGACTGCATTCAAACTCAGAAAAGACTGCTGGCAAGAGCTTTTACTTCATACTAAATAGGCAACTGCGTAACAGGAGAAGACCCATAGTCATATGCTGCTTATGGTTAAACAAGATGTGCTTAATGGGCATTTCACAGAAGAGAGGTCAGAGAGGTTGGTCTGATGCTACTAAACTAGCAACTGAATTGTTTAGTCTTCCGTCAGGACTCCAGATTAATGCTCAAGTACACAATGATCACAAAGAAGGCAGCTAAAATGAGGACACTGAGCATATGGGAAAGAAGCTTTAAGCTTCAGTCCATCTTTTTTTAGAGTTTGAAATGGGGCTAAGAGCAGAGTCAAGAGTTTTGCAAAGGTTTTTATGAGCTTCACAGGTGAACTCCAATAGCAACGTGGAGACTTCTTCCAAAGCAGATTAAGACCCAGAGCCGTGGCCACCGTATGGCTGGCTTAACTATGACAAGTTCAATAGTCAAAAACTAAAATTTATACAAATACAAAGTAATGATGTACTTTTCCCACTTCCCTCCTCTCTGACACACTGTATTCTTAACAGGCTAGGCAGAGAAGAATCTATAAAAGGTTTTATTAACTTCTGATAGACTAAACTAACTTCCACCCTTCAGAGCCTATGCTTGTGATCTCATGTGTTGGGGCAGATTATAAAATGGCATGACTTTGAAATACCTCTAGTACTATCTCAACCTAAAGCTGACTTGTAAGAATGTAGTTGTCTGGCCTGATCGTTACTGATGAGTAATGCTGCAGCCACCATCAACACTCAACAATACTGGTGGAGGCAGAACCACCAGGCTGACTGGCTTTAAAAATGCCACCACAGTATTTTTTAAGAGCAAGTTTCCCCCTGTACTCCACAGTGAAAATATATAAAAGGAAAAAGCGATACCTATATATAAATATACATACTCAAATCAGGTCACTGAAGTACAGTAAGACTGACTGCATGTTAACTGCAACAGGTTAACCTCAGTGTGAAAGTACATGTTGAAAAGAAACAAAATACAACCTTTACTAATAGATAAGTTCCAATCAGTTACAATGGCATCCTCTTGTTTATTTATAATTTCCAAAATGTTTTCACAAGCATGGCATATTTACTGAATTGAACTCCCCAGCATTAACAGATTTGATCTTCAGGATACCCAGATCAGCATGGGCAGGAAGAACAAAAATGTCCCACTTTGAAGAACAAAGGAAACTAAAGTACAGAGGATAAATGGCTTGCCCAACATTATTTTTGAATTAAATGGTAAGGGTTTGATTTCAGGATTTCTAGTTCCTAAATCAGTACTTTACCCCCAAATGCCTCCATCAATGACAAACCCATAAAAAGAGAGAGGAAACTGTGAACATCTGTATGTCCTAGTGGCCAAAGAATATCAGATCTTCAGGAGAAAGGTCTGAAGACCAAAGTCATCTCAGCTAAGGACAAAGCCATTTATCACGGATAGATAAGAGTGAAGTTCTAACCTGGCACATCTTAGGAATATCCTAAGAGGGCTCAAATCTCGAAGACACAACTAAAATTATCAAGGGAATAAGGAATCATCTAAAAAGATGAGGAATTTTCAGGCTGTGGTTCTGAAAGAAACAGGTTAGGAAAAACTAAGACTTGTTAACTAAACATAGGCAACCCAAGACTAGGGAATGCCTCTTGGAGTTAAGAGCCTTAAACAAATCAAAGTTCTTACATAACAATGCAGCAAGATACACTCATTAACGTCATCATCCTAGGAGAAGGTAAAGACAAAAAAAATCTAATGAATAAGATGTAATAATGGTTAAAATTCAGCAAATATACATGTAAGATTTGTGCGTTTCATTGTAGGTAAATGTTTCTTTTTAAAATACTTGAAACATAAAACAAAAAACACAGTGTCATCTCACATAACGAAGGAAAAAGAGATGCAATGGATTAGGGAGTGAAGTGAGACAGTTTAGGCATAATCTCATAATCTTCCAAGGCTGGTGTGGATGACTCTTGGTTCCTCTGGCTGAGCAGGCTTGTGGAAAGCTTGGATTTTTGAGGCTTTCCTTGAGGTTCCACAAGGGCAGGTGCCTCTGTTTTTCATCTCTGTATCCATAGGACCCCACACAGTCAGTTCCCAATAGCTGAGAACTGGGTTCAGGTCCTAGCTCTGTCACTGCCTAGCACTGGGACTTGGCAACAGGCTTTACCTCTGAGTCTCCATTTCTTTGGCTCCTAAAATAGACACCAGCCTATCCTGTTTGTATGACAAGGTCATGAGGGTCAAACAAAAGTACATTCTAAAACATCTTTAAAAATAAGATGTCTGTGCTTGTTATATTTTAATTAAATATATGAACCAAAATCTTCAACCAGTGAATGAGCCAGGAAACAAAAGTATTACAAGCATAGCTAGATTAGCCTTCAATGTTTAAAATGACCCAAGGAAGAACTGTTAAGATTGAAGGTTGAAATAGAGGTTTAAAAGCCCCAACAGTAGACTTTATTAGGAGGAAGCTCACAACTTATCCCTGCTTAAGAATTCAAGAAGTTTTTTCTAAGCTGGACACATGAAAGATTTAGTGCTGGACCAAAATTCTATTTATGGCTGCATAAAATGTATAGAAAACTATATACAGAATAGCAACATGAACGTGGTCAGAGTCAGTTCTGAAAGAGAAAGACAATGAGTGAGACAAAGACTTCATGAGGAGTCAGGAAGCATGGGTTCCAGTACAAGCTCAGCTTCTGTATTTGTCCTGAATAAAGCCACTGGCCTCTCTGGGCCTGTTTCACATCATCTGAGATAAAAGAGGTGACAACAGATAATCTACAACTTGTAAATTCAAAGATAGCAAAAAGCCATTTTGTAATCCATTATTCTGTGGCCTCGCCTCACACCTCTCTGTACCTTTGTTCATGCTACTTGCTCTAAGTGTTCTGTACTTTTCCCCATTCTATAATCAATGAACTCTTATCCAACCTTCAAGGCCTACTCAAAAGTCATTGACAACGTGAAGTCTCTGCAAACAGACAAACACTCATGGTTCACTTCCAGTAGGTTTCCATAACATCCATCAAACAATTCTACAGTTGTTTTAGGCCCAATCAATTGCGATGCCACTGAAAGGCAGGAAACATCTACTGAGCTCAGAAGAATGATGGACATATGCTAGGTGCTTCATAAAAAGTACTCTGATGAAACACATGAATGCTTACTCATTTCATGTTAAGGTATCTCAAGTAGTAATTTGATAAAGTCACCATCTGCACATTTTAGAAAGGCCTACCTGGTCTGCACAGGTCTCCATGTTGCTCTTTTTCACTGGCGTAGACTTCCATGCACCAAGCATGGTATGCAAATGAGAAGAGATCTTCTATTTTAGCAGGTGGTCGGATTGCATTGTTCAGTCTCTTAAGCCACTCTTGACATTGCTCAAAGGTTGAGAACTGACACCTTTGTAAAGCCAAACAAGTACAAATGTAATCAGAAGGCAGTTGACAATGAAAACTAAGGGAAGCCACCATTTCAAGAGTGCTTACTCACAGTGAAGTGACAACTACAGTCAAGAAAGCATTAGAGAAGTCCATTCCCATGTTTATCATTTATAAAAAAAACAGGTCCAACAAATTTTAGCCAGTGGTGCAAAATGTCAAAAAGAAGAGAGCTAAACATGTAGAAAACTGGGGGTTTTTTTGACAAATAAATCTCTTGAGATTGGTTAATAACAATGATTAAAGTAACATGGCAGTCATTCTCTTCCAGGAATGGAATTTTATTATACTTCTTCCACCAAAGCTTTACGGTTGTCCTCAAGAAATATGGTTAGAGAAGTTCTTTTTGTTTTGTTATGACATATTATGCCAAGTTCACAATTAGTTCACAGTACTACTTTTGGCCAATTGGGGAATAATACCAAAATTTACCTATTTAGCAATTAGAATAAACTAGTAACTTTAGATTGAAAGTAAGATACGCTACACTGAAACTTTCAGCAATGACCATGTAGGGAACAAAACAATTCTATTATCAATTACAATTTTCAGTATATATAACTAGGAGATAACTAGGAGATTAAAATAGTGTAAAAAAATAGTTTATCTTTTCAAACGCAGGGTTTTAAATTGAGTAGTTAATAAGCAAGCTTTATAAACTGTAACTTATAAGCAGCAGCTATAAAAAGCAAGCCAAATCTCAATAGCTAGAAAGGAACTTAAATATTTACCTTAAAACCAAGGATGTCACTTAAACCTTTCCCCTCATCCCAATCAGTGTGGCTCATCAATATGCTAACACACAATGTTCACTGGCACTCCAGAATAGGGCAAAGAAATAAAGTAAAAACTTGGAGAACTAAAAACTGGTAGAGCTACTCAATTTTAAACGCATTTTAGACATTACTTTGCAAAACCAGTATAGCAAAGATTAGGTCAGACAAAACCAACACTAGAGAAATTTGATGAGAAGCAGGACATTTGTAGTGTCTTAAAGTGACTCCCAGACTGTTTATAAGTTGCAAGGGAAAAAAATGTACAAATTACACAGAAAGTGAGTCTTAAACTCACTTTATTCTCTTGACAAGAGTGGTCAAAGTTATCATCAATAAGAGACAGATGGACACTGTTTGCCTTCAGCTGTAATACAGTATCCTGAAAAGGACACAACCTCATACATACAGTATTTCAGCTTAGAATGCACAATCTCAATTTAACCATGAAGAAACACTGGAGAGACAAAATAAACATTCTATTATGAGATTTTTTTCTTCAAAATGTGAATGTCATGAAAGACAAAGAAAGGTGGTGGGAAATATTCCAGATTGAAGGAGGCTACAGAATCATGACAACTAAACATAATACCTGCCTTGACTAGATCTTGTTCTAAATGAGACAGGAGTAGGGGAAATGTCATAAAAGGCATTATTAGGTCAACAGACAAAACTGGAACATGGATAGTAGATTGAACAAAGATACTGTAAGTGTAAAACTGAAGTTGATAATGATACTGTGGGTATGTATGAAAATATCCCTATGCTTAGGAAAGCATACTAAATAAAGTATTTCAGGGTGAAGAGCCATGATTATGTAACTTATTTCAAATCATTCAGGAAAAGAATCTCTCTCACTCTCAAACACTCAAACACCACACACACACCCTGAAAGTGATAAAGCAAATGGGGTAAAATGTTAACAGCATATTTACTATTTTTATTTTTTGTACTTCTTTGTAAATTTATGTCCAAATAAAAATTTTTAAAATATTGTTCAAATAGCAAAGTCGCCTAAAGATTCAATATTTCAGGAACTAACTATTCAGAAAATATTCCTAACTAAGCTAACCCTCAAAAGCTGTTCTTCTGTTATCAAACCATGGATCCATCCTTTAAAAAATATTTTCCACACTAAACAGCAGCATAAACACACCACATACCTGATAACTTTGCAGTCTTTGCAAGTCAAATGAAGCTGAAATATATCTCGGCATTCAACACTTTCTATAAGCTGTAATGGAACCTACAATTAAAAAAGATGAAGTCCCCTTAGTCAAAAAGGTATTGACCCTGAAGTTCTTCAATGTGTCCAACCAGGGTGATTAGAAAGCTCTATAGCAGAACAAAGCACACAACTGCATAGTCATCTGAATCAACAGTACTCAATGATTTACAGGGTGATTTAGGTTTCCCTTTATCAATCTCTAAAATCAATGGCATCAAGTCACATCATAGCATGAAGTCAACAAATGAAGAGGCGCTACCACATCTGGAAGAATAGGGAAACAAGTCATCACTTAGGCAGCAAACTCACAAGTTTATCTTTCAAAATACTATTTATGACACTGCTGGCTGTGATTTGAGACGACACAGGAGCTGAAGGGAACCAGAATGGTTATTCTGTCTTGTTTACAGAAAAGAACTGCAGATCAAGGTGGCAGAGGGACTACACTTTTCACTTGCCCCAAATGATAAAGTGGGCGTGTGGCTTCGTGTCAGCAAAGGAGCATCCTGAAAAAGGACTGGAGATTTAAACTGCCTGCAGGTTCCACAGAAAAGACAAGGCAGGAGCCTGACAAAGTTGCTGGTCTGCTCAGTAGAAAAGATCCACAGGAGGGAGCAGGCCATACAGTAGCCTCATCAGCTAGATCTAATTTGCTTCCAAAGCCAAGTCCTGCCAAGTGGCGAGATACGAGTAAGCCAGAAGGGTTCTCTTCCTGCCATCCAGTCAGCAGACTCTAGTGAACACAGGATTAAGTACAACAGTGGAGAGGGATCAGAGAAGGCAGGCAGACAGGAGAGAAAGCATCTGAACAGGGTGACAAATCCTCAAGTTGTCATGAGAATCCTTCTCCTGTCCCTCAACTCATCCTGACTCAACCTCTGGCTTCAAAAAGCAATTTCCAAAACTTCCAAAGAGAGTCTAGTAAAATAACAGTGGACACTCTCACTGGTTGGAAAAGGGATAGATCACTCTTAGACTGAATCATGCCTAGCCAAAATGTGGCTCCAGGAGTTGCAAGTAGCATTCCAACAATTTGTGTTTTGCATAAGAAGGAAGTAGTCTCCTTCAGCCCAGACAGAAACAAGAGTGCTGCTTGCCCAGGGTGGCCCTCGTGTTAGTTGAGCCAGTTTCAGAAACAGGCTTCTTGGCAACCCCTGCCCCACCATGCAGTTGCCAGAGTCAGTGAGAACACTCAGAACAAGGATGTGGGGATCAAAAAGCCTAATGCTGGACATTTTAGACAAAAACAGAAACTGGGGTAGGGATTAAAAAAGAGAAAAAAGCAAAATATTACTCAGGTAATGGCTGGGAGTTTCTACCTCAGGACTAGTACTTTCCTAATTAATCTACAAAATTCCCTTACATTTATAATTGGACCAGGAATAAGAGAAAGACTAAGAATTCTTGCCTGTGTTCTGAGAAAAAAGGAGCTTTGGCCCTCTGTTTTTGTTTAAGTCCTTAACCCCAAGGTGCTGTGAGAAACTGGAGCTGATGCAGCTAAAAATTCTCTCAATACCTGTACATCTAAGAAGGAAAAAACAGAACAAAACAATGTATCAGTAGAGATAATTGTGAAGAAGTAACAGGAGATTAAGAGATCAGAAGAGGACACTGATTTGTTCTCAGGCCGCTCCTTTGGGTATCCTGTAACACTTGGGGGTTTTTTGGTTTTGGGTTTTTTGGGTTTTTTTTTTTTTTAAGTACAACCCTTCTCTCTCCCCACCAAAAAAAAAAAAAGCTGGCAGGCTCAGGCTAGCAATAGCAATTAAGAGGCCATAGTTCTAATTTCAGTTTCCTAAAATTCTGCCTGCATCCTGACTTTCCTGGACAATCTTCCAACCTTCCTATACGCCACCAGCCTCCGCTTTCTGAACCTCAGATGGTCACAACTTAGGACGTCCCAGGCACAGGGAACAGGAAGAGCCTGGGATGGAGTGAGTGAGCTCCACAAATCCACGTGCTCTCTCAGCAGTCACCTGTATCTCAGGTCCCCTTCGATCACCTTTCCTTATAATAGCTAGAAAACCTGAAAACCAGCTAACACTATTAGCAGCTGCTGGAGGGAGTGGACAGTCTGTGCTATTTTGCTACAAAGAGTCGGTAAGTTTTACATCCCTACTATTGGACTAGAGCCCAGAAGCCTATGTCCAGACTTTCAAAATACAAATATGAAACACTTCAGGGCATGCAAAACATTTGCTACCTAAATGCTTTCAAATACAAATTTTCATTACTTTAACACTGCAAATGTAAGGAAGAAGGATAAAAATATTGGTTGCTGGTATCCAGATACAAGCAAGTCATCAGAATTAACCATATGTACTCAAGTCACAGGTAAGGGAAAACAGCAGATTTTAATAATCATGCAGATTGTCACACGCAGGGAAGTTTAATATCTAGCAAGAACAGGGACACAGAAGAGAAATACTCGATTTTATATCAAATGAACATCTCCCTTTTTTGTTCCTCTTTCTACCCCAATGATACTCTTCAGTGTTCCCTCCACAGACTGCCTCCTCTTCTAAAAAGGCAGAGCTGGCCTTCTTTTCCTCTTCATACATCCAACCAAACCAAAACTGTCGTCACATATGATATGAGGACCATTTCTATCACCAGACATACCCAATATTCAACCTCATAAGCAAAGAACTACATATTTAAGAGTCAGACCATTTTAAAGCCAAGGATGGTTAAGCCACTACACTAAAGACAGTGGCAAAGAAAGGACCAGAATCCATGTCTGTCCTCTAGCCCAGACTTCTACCATTGTATATGGTACTCCTTTCTTTCTCCCTTTATGACTGCCATTCCCTTCTGCATGAGCTCTACCTTAGTTTCTCTTTCACAATTAACTAGCCTCTTCACCAGAGATCTTCAAGAAGAAAAATAGAATTTAAACCAGATTCCTTAGAGGCAATTCTATCCATGGAAGAGTAGTAAGAAATCTAAAGTCACATTCACATCCTCTCTAATCCACCAATTCAATGTTTTGTAGAAATTCATTTTAATTTTGCTCGTTTCTCCTCTAACTTCTACCTGCCAAGCAATTCTATCTCCCTTTACAGTGCTTTTCCTCTTAATGAAATCCACCAAACTCATGCTCAAAACAAGGCAAATACACTCAGTGCTGTTAATCAATTCCTCAAGAGGTCAAAAGTTACATCATGTACACCAAAACTCTTAAGCACATCAATCCAAAAAAGCAGAAGAGCAGCAGTTTAAAATTTTCAAAGACATGCACAAGTATTAAAGAGAGACAGCACTCTCTCATTCCAGAGGGAATTTTATGTCATCACATCCTACTATATTTGCTGTAATTCAGTCTGGGTATTGGTGGGGAGGGGACATGCGCACATGAGCACACGCATGCACGTGTGTATTATATTTAAGCACTAGAATTTAAAAGTAGGATAATATCTACCTTTTAAAAAGAAATGCCCTTTTTATAGCCTGAATGGGAAGTACTAATCTTGTATTACATTGAACCAAAAATGGCAGTATGTGTAAAAATATAGCAAAATAATGAGTCTTAACCTAAAATCTGTAATAAATTGTGGAATACCTGGGCTCTAAATCTTATGATTTAAAAACCAGCCTAAAGAAGACTGTCATACATTAAAGACCCAAACCCTTTATTGCTCACTTTTGGTATTTACAAGATACTCTTCCAGCACTGGTTTCAGAGGCCTCTCTAGTTTATGAATGCTAAGGCCAAAGTACATTAAGTTTTAATAATAACCTTATTCTGAGGCTTGGGGAATAAAGATTTTTGATGTATGACAGTTAGACAATGGGGAAAAAAAAGTGGGAAAATGCTAAGGAAGGTGTTTCCAAATGTACTTCCAGCTTGTTCCTAAGAAGCATTAACAGACCAGTCTGGAAACGGAAGTTTCAGTGTCCTTCTAAATACTAATGTTGATTTTATAAATTATTTCTGATTGAAATTCAGTTTACATTTTTTGAAGATCACAACTCCCTCTGCTTATGTTTGAACTGTGGGGCTTTATCCCCTGCTTCCAATCTGTCCTCATTACAGGGTACCACTAAACTTTGTCTAATAGAAGGGAAGGGACTCATGCCGAGAGGACACACTTCGCAGATTTACAAGGTGAGCATCTGACACTCAAAATCAGTTTGTTCCAAGCACAGGTGCAACAACAGCCTAGTATTCTCATGCTACTTACTGGGATTTCAGAAGCAGCAGACTGAGAGGCAGTCTATTGAATTACACAACAAAAATTATTTTAAATATTCATGAACTCCATTTGAACACTTACTTGATTATAAATTAGATGAACAAAGAAATCTATCTGTACATATGTAAAAATATAGTTTGGGAAAAGCAGAATGGGAGCAATTCATACCTTAAATACTACAAATGAACTGTACTACAGAGATTCTTTATTCTAGAAATTGGAAACTTGATAGACAGTAAACGTGTGTGGATTAAAGTAATGATGTATTTCAATGTGTTGTGAAATTAAGAGAACGTATGATATCAGGTAGCTATTTAAAACTTGATGGTAAGTCATTCTCTTAAGTGCTAAATATGCTGATTTAAAAGCATGCAAAATGATGCAAACTGGGACATACCACAATACGAACTGGCACATCTGGGCTTTGATAGTTGATATGTGTTTAATTTAGATATAATAATCTTTAAAGGGAGGTGTCTGTTGATCTCACATATTTTACTGAAATACTTATCTGCTGAGGGAGGAAAGAAAGGAGAGACAGGGAGCAACACCACCAACTCTCTAGTCTCCATCCAGGACTTAGTAGTATAAGAGGAGTCATCGTTTCCTGGCGGAACCACAGGTTTTAGGAACCTTAGCACTAACAGTGATATGATTTATTTGTATGGGGAAGTCCTAGTCTCTCTCAATCTGAAACGTTTAAGGTCATTACAAAACAAAAAATACTTTCCACAATCATTTTTCTGTGCAAAGTCATTATCTTTGGCTTTTTAAGCAACATGTAGGCTCTATGCCTTAGAGGGTTATAATGCTAACTGTAAAACACTTTTAGGTGAAGAAATGGGTCAAAAGTAAGAATATGGGTAAGTTTTCTTAAGCACTGTATCTCAATCACAATGGGGGACCAACAGTTCCAGTAAACAACCTACTCACAAAGCTACTGTTAGAGACAAAGATGACACAGGCCTATTCAGACAGAAATATTGCTTTTAAATGAGCTTTTAACACAAAAAATGGGGTTTTTTAATGGTCTTATATCCATTTCAAACCCATAGTGACTTCAATTCACTTAATATTTACTAAATACCATGGCACCAGGAGACATGCTGGATTCTGAAGATACAAAGATGAACAACCAAAACATTACAACAAATCTGGTAAATGTTGTAAAGGTGTACTCGAGATACAGAAGCAGCTAGATGAGAATGTAATCAACTGTCAGGGATGGAACAGGGACTGAGATAGACTTCAGAGAAGAGTTTATCACCTGAACTGGATTCTGACAGATGAAGAGAAGCACCCTGAGTAGAAGAGAGAACTCAGAAGTGTGAGGTATGGTTGACAGTCCAAGGAGGTGGCTTTACTAATACAAAGGGGAGAAGAGGGGGAAAAGGGAGACAGAAAAACTGTCAGGGACTAAGGATCACACCACTTAGCTTGACACCATGCTAAGAAATTTCATCTTAGAAGTAGTGAAGAAACACTGAAGTGCTTTAGGCTGGCAAATGACATGATCAAATCCATGCTTTCTTTCCAACAGACCCTACTTCCAAATAGATCTAAGAATAGTCTTTTAAATACTTGGCCATAAACCAAAATGCTGAAAAATAGGGGCTGTATGGAAAAATGCAATGATATGAAACTATTACTACCTCCACATATAATTTAATTACAACTTCTAGACATTTAAACACAAAATTAAATTGGGCAGTTATTACTGTCATCATTTCCACAGCAGCTGGTAGAGAATTTCTGGTTGCTGGGATGTTATAGGCAATTTCATTCTGTCTTCTCCTGTCATGGCCACCCAATGCCAAATGAACCCTGCTGAACACAGGGTTCTATGATATGAAAGCACAACAGGCCCGTGTCCTGGATGAATTCAGTGTGTATTTTACCTGACGGACATAAAACTAACTTGATAGCTATGACCAAAGCCCAAATCCAGAAGCCAGAAGGAATTCAGGCCATGATAACTCCTGGATGGAAATGCTTAACCACAAAGAACGATAAATATTAAAATAATAAATGCCAAGCACCAAGAAAATCTCAGCCACCTGAGTCTTTTGACCAGGGAAAAACGTGACGAAGGAACTAGGTAACCTTTGGATGGTTGAGTAAAATAAACTTAAGTGACAGATTTTAAAGAACCCTAAAATGAACCCAAAAACACAGAGCCTGAATGAAAGTATAGTCCTGAGCTTTTATAAGATGTCATAATACACTTCTTTGTGCTAGAACCAAAGTGTAAAAAGCCACAATACTGTCCACTAAGGAAGAAAGAAGGCATTCACTTGGCCAAATAAGTACATGAACCTTTGCATCTCTGTGGCTGAAGGCATATTAATTGAAAACTATTAGTGATGACTACACCGGAAGAACCAGTTCACTGAGAACACCCTCATAACCGAAAAGGGTAAATGCACTCTTGAGAACTGAGAGCCTTCCTTCTCTTCAGCAATATATAGTCCATTATGCAAATAAACATTGTACTTAACATCTATATTTATACCACTAAGGAGCCATTAGAGTAACTTCAACCTTTAATGAAAGTCTGCATTGAGCTCAAAGTACATCTCATCAGTTAACATTAAGGTCCAGGAAATTCTCTCAACTGAAGCAGTTGGTAACCACTAAAGACTGAGGAATAAAAGCCTATACAGCCTTTGCCCCCTTACAAAGCTTAATGATACAGCATTACCTACTGCAAATCATGCACTGTTACTAAACACTCAGCTGCTCAGCTGACAACTACATGTATCACTTTAAATCAAGTGTAACAGCTGCCTCCTAACCTACTGTCCCAAGTGCTCAACTGAGAGAAAAGCAGAGCAGCCCATTTTTTCACACCCAATCCTGTACAACACTCCTCTCTTTGAGAACATTAACAAGTTTTTTGAATTCCTTTCTCCATCTACTTTACTGGGAGAATAGTTGATCATCACTTACATTAACAAGAGACTCCTTGAACTTGATGTGAAGTCTGTAATTAGAAAGGGCAATGATGGCATCTTCAGCACGGCCCACATACTCTGTGCTTTCTCCATGAAGTTCAAGGAAAGGAACCTTCAAAATGGAAGAAGAAACCCTTCAGAGTTCTGAAGCAATAAAGCAAAGTCTTCGAACATGGGTCAAGTGAATGGATGATAAACCCTGTCACTCAAACTTAAAACACAGTACATAAATGGATAAGAGGCCTAAGGAGGATGGGTCTATACCTGCAAGATGTAAAAAAAAAAAAAAAAACCTTGTTATTCATATTCTAGACTACTGAAGGAATGATAGATGATCATCTCAAGCAGTGAATTCTCAGGAAAAGTCTTCCTAAAAGGAAAGATGTTTTCCAGCTTACATTTCTACCATGTGTATGGATTAGGAAAAAATATATTTATTATATAGTACATTACTTCAATCCATTAGCTCTGCTACATTGTTACTATGATGCTTAATACTTATTTTACAATCCAAAGTGGCCTAAAATTACCTGAAGATTTTCATCCTCCCGGATCAGCTGTTTCCTGGGAAAGATCTGGTTGGCCTGGATGCACTCAAGGCTGTGTCGAGTCTCTTCATCCTGGAAAGACCCAAACCTTTAAATAATTTCAAAGCTCCTATTCATCCCATATTTGATTCTTCTGCCATGCCTAGTAGCATAATGACAATGAGAATCCAGTGACCAAGGTGAACAGGCAGAAAGCTCAAGAAAAAAATATTCACCCTCATAAGTGTTCCATCCAATACAGTAGGTGCCTGTAGTCAGAGAACATGCCAATGCGTGGGGAAAAAAAGAAGTCAAGAGGTTAAGAACATTTTTATTAAGCACTGGTAAGTTGTTAGCATATTACATGTAAGAGAAACCAAGATACAGTGTTTTTTTTTCTCTTAAGTTTTAACCTTAAATTCTTATTTTTGAAAGAAACACTGAATTATTTAAGAATGAAATGATGTGACTGGTGTCTGGAATTTGCTTCAAAATAATTGGAGGGGGAAGGGTAATGAGGAAGTGAATGGGGCATAAAAGAAACAGAATTGTCCATGAGGAAAAATTCATGAAATTGTTAAGTCAGAGTTTACTATATACCATTGTGTCTATTTTGGTTATATGTGAAATTTCCGTAAGAGAAAACTCTTTTTCTTTTTAATGTAAACTTAAGAACTGAATTCTCTAACTGAAAACATGTGAACCACTATTCCTGACTTACTCTGCCTAATATCACAGATGAGATTTTATTTTTATTTAGGCAATTTCCAAAGCAGCAGCAACAAATTGTAATCTAAATGGCACCTGGATAGAACTAATTATAATCTGTATAAGTCTCTTACATTATGAAATTTTATGGTATGGGAAGACGGGGGGGAAGCAATCTATTGGAAAGTCTTGACTGTAAATTATGATGGAATCTGTTTACACAGCAAATTTTGTAAGAGCAAATCACATGTTCAACTGACAGCACCAATAATTACAACCACTAGTTAGCAGACATTTCTGTACACACTACTTATCACAATTTCAACAATTCTTTAAATCTCCTGAAAGAAAACTCCTACCTATAAACAATACTTAAGGTTTTATCCAATAACAATCTTAAATCATAAAACCCTAATACTCTAATAATGTGGTTCCCAAAGTGAAGTCTGCAGATTCTGAGACCCTTTCAGGGCCTCTATGAGGTCACAACCACAGTCACAATAATACTAATACATTATTTGCCTTTTTTTCACTGTTTTGATATTTGTACAAATAGCACAAATGGAACTGGTGGGTAAAACCACTGGCACCTTAGTACAATCAAGACAGTAGCACTTTGAATGTCCTTGATAAAGCAGGGGGGAAAATGATAAATTTTATTAAATTTTGACCTGTAATTTTTTTTTTTGAGGAAGAACTACATTAAACCTTTCTTCCGCATCCTGAAGTACTATGGTTGTCTCAAAGTAAAGTACTTGTGCAGCTGTTTCAGTTACAGGCTGAACTAGCCAGTTTTTTCATTGAGTACCATTTTTAATTGAACAACTGACAAACTACAGTAATTCAGACTTAAGCATTTGGCAGATCTTTTCTCCAAATGACATTACTTGCCAATGATAAAGCTTTTATGGAAAATCAGAATTTTGGAAAATCTGTCATATCTGCCACAATCAACTTCACAGCTTCCCAGTACTTAAGATTTTTTTGATGCGATCAGTGCTGATACTACCAAGTGTGATTTTTTTTTTTTTAACTGAAAGCAAGTTTATTTAGAGAGATACACACTTCACAGACAGTACGGTCTTAAGGGGGAGCTGTTTAGGACACAGACATTCCACAGGCAGCATGCGGGCCATCTCAAAAGCCAAGAAGGAGGGAGACAGATGTGTGGGATGTTTAAAAGTAGATACACACCTCATAGAATACAGGCCGTCTCAGAAGGCAAGAGTGACTTAAGTGTCATTTTTAGAAGAAATTATATCATGAAATATGTCTACATTTGGAAGATCTGCATTACTCAATAAACCATTATTCTCAGAATGACCGTGTGATGTTACAAAATCAGGCATGGATAGAAGATCCATTTAAAGCACAGGATAGACCAATGGTTTTAATATAATAGAATACAAGCAGCTCACTGATAGGGCTTCAGATTCCACACTGCAACTAACCTTCAAAGAATTATTATTTGTCAAGTTTTGGTGTACTATGATAGAATATACACAACTACCCATAAAAACTATTAAAATACTCTTTCCTTTTCTAAATACTTATCTGGGTGAGGCTGCGTTTCATTTATTTCAAATAATATATTTTAACAAATTGGATGGAGAAGTAGATATGAGAATCTAGCTACCATCTATTAAGTCAAATATTTAAAAGATTAGTTAAAATGTAAAAAAAAAAGCCATTCTTTCACACTAATTACCACTGGAGGAGGAAAAAATTACTTTTCATTAAAAATGCTAACATTTAATTAGTTATATTATTTTTAAGTGAATTTATGAACATTTTAAAGATTCTCAGCTGTAACTTTTAATATAGTAAATACAGACATACTCCACTTAGACAAAAGCTCTTCTGGGTCCTCAATAAGGTAACACTGTAAAAGGAGGTCCTCAGACCAAAGAGTTTGAGAACTGCTGCTCTATTATACTCCAATACTAAACACAATCATCCCTCAGTACCTGAGGGGTACTGGTTCCCTCCCAAAGATACCAAAATCCACAGGTTCTCAAGTCCCTTATATAAAAAGGTATATGGTCTTTACATATAACCTACGCACATCCTCCTGTATACTTTAAACGATATCTGCTTACTTATAAAACTTTATACAAAGTAAATGTCATGTAAATAGTTGCCAGTGCACAGCATATTCAGGTTTTGCTTTTAGGAACTTCCTGGAACTTTCCCTGTTAATCTGGGTTGGCTGAATCCATTAACGTGGTACCACTAACTGTACCAATTAAAGCTGTTTCATTTTAAGTCAGACTTTCTCTAAAACCATTCTCCTAGTGACGAAAAGAAGAGCCATATAGAAGCTTGAGTAGCACTCGCTCACCTAGCTACCACCTACAGAACTAGTATCATTGCTACTCTAGCTGAACGGGCCCATTCCAATCTGTCTAAGGGGCCATTTTATCTTGAAGCACAAGCTTTTAAAAGGTATTTTTGAAAGTTTGGTATTTAAAATGTAGAAAGAAATTAGTGGCTTCAATTTTAAAAATAAAACTTTATAAAAATGGTTCATGAAACGTTACAAAAAAGTATTAAACTTCAGTCATTATTAAATAGGGACTCTTATTAAACAAACTATATGTTAATAGTGTCACTTCCTTAGGACTGCTAGATATTCACCATGATTGTCAAGAAATCACAGCTGATAATCAAATAATTTCAAAAGCATAAGCATAAAAATCTATTCAGTTATTCATAGCAAAAAAACCTAAATAAAAGTTTAATGAAGCTAGTATATTTCAGTCAGGTTGATATGAAGTGGCTTGGAGCCTCCAAAAATATTATTACCTAGGGCATACAAATGGCTCCACTCCTACAAACACTAAAATAATTCATTAGCTGAAGAGCTCAGTTCCATTCTATTCCTTTCCACTCATTTCTTCTGAAATCAATGATTGGGTGAAAGAATAAGGGACATATTTGAAAGGAACTGATTTTTCTATAATAGCCTTTTTCTTTTTAACCAATTCTATTTCTATCCTTAAGAGGTAGTTCTTGACTTAAAAGAACACAGAGTATTTGCACTTAGAATTAAAGAGAAAGGACAGGAGAAACCTTGAATTTAGCAAGATTTTTCTCATAAACCAATAGGGGATAGGCAAGAAATGCTATGAAACATGGAAGGAGATTTTTAAATATTAACTTTTTAAACTCACATAAATATGTAAGGCTTAAACTTTTTAATTTTTTTAATTGAAATATAGTCTGTTTACAATGTGTCAATTTCTGGTGTAGAGCATAATGTTTCAGTCATACATATACATACATGTATTCATTTTTATACTCTTTGATTATAGGTTACCACAAGATATTGAATACAGTTCCTTGTGCTATACAGAAGAAACTTGTTATCTATTTTATATATACTAATTAATATTCACAAATCTCAAATTCCCAATTTATCCTTTCTTACCCCCTTTCTCCCTTGACAACAGTAAGATTGTCTACTATGTCTGTGAGTCTGTTCCTGTTTTGCAGAGAAGTTCATTAGTGTCTTCTTTATTTAGATTCCACTTAAGAGTGGTATCATGGTATTTTTCTTTCTCTTTCTGGCTTACTTCACTTAGAATGATGATCTCTGTGTCCATCCAGGTTGCTACAAATGGCATAATTTTATTCTTTTATGGCTGAGTAGTATTCCACTGTATAAATATACCACAACTTCTTCATCCCGTCATCTGTCAATGGGCACTTAAGTTGTTCCCATGTCTTAACTATTGTATACTGTGCTGCTATGAACATTGGAGCAAATTTATCTTTTTGAATTAGTGCTCCCTCCAGATACATGCCCAGGAATGGGACTGCTGGATCATACGATGTCTATTTTTAATTTTTTTTGAGGAATCTCCATACTGTTTTCCATAATGGTAAGGCCTAAACTTTTATTCTTTTCAAGATCATTTTATAGAGATACCCATTATTTTAAGTGATTCCCTGACTAAATTTCTACTGATCTGTAATTGGCATAGCACTGAAATAATACAGCAGGCTTAAAAAATACCAAAACACTAGAGAAACAGGCAAATATATTCAATATCGTATAGTAACCTATAATGAAAAAGATGAAAAGAATACATATGTACATGTAAGACTGAAACAATATGCTGTACACCAGAAACTGACACAACATTGTAAACTGACTACACTTCAATCAACCAAGACTGTCTCAGTTCACATTACCTGTAAGGCTTCTGAATTTATTTTTCCCCCTTGTACACAAAAAGGCATTAGGATTAGGATAAACTATTTACCGACTTTCCAAAAAGAGTGGTGTTAAGTATTGCTTGGCTAAATGTAAGCTGAATTAACTGCCTCATTTATTAGTTTCATAGGTAAAAGGGAGGCCAACCTTGAGTTGGTTGATAGAGTAAGAGTTAGAAAGAGACAGAAGGCAAGGATGAAATAATCTGGTAAATGCTGGCCTGATAAGAGGCTTGCAAACAAATTTCTCCTAGGCTAGCTATAAGCAGTAATTTATTAGCAGCAGAAAGAATGTATTCTACATGGTCAATTTCCTGGTATTGCTGAGGAACACCGAGGACTGGGGAATCTGGCACCGGCTCTGTAAGGTCGTTACGGTCACCGATAAAATCTTGAAAAAGGGATCAGTCACCACAGTTCCAGGATAATTTCTGCTACTGGCTGAACTATGCAGGTGAGAGAGTTAAGTCTACACTGCAGAGGGGAAGTTAACATTAAAGATAAACATTTAAAGAACATGTGGAGCAAAGGCTGATCAGTGAAAACAGCTATTAACTAAATTCATATATAGCGTTTCGGAATAAAAAAAACTACCTACTCCTAAGAGTGAAATGTGTGTAGGAACATTTGGCAAATGTAAAAGTCAAAGTGATTATCAGTTCCATCATCAATTCCAGCTACCATTCTTAAGACTGGTATTAAAGGCCATCAAAAATACAATTTCCTTTGATATAATGCTTGTGATTTGTTTCAAAATAATCTAAAGAGGTGGGGATGAAGGAGTCAGAAGAAACAAGTGTGGCCATGAACTGATGATTATTGCAGCTGGTTGATGCACATACGAGGGTTCATTATACTACTGCCTATTTGTATAGGCTTGAGATTTTCTACAATGAAACATGAAAACATTTTCCTAATGCTTAACCTCCCCCCAAAAAAGACGCACTTTGATCTAATTTAAGAACCTTTAAAAGTATGAGAGACAGTGTTATTCAATCTAGTGCAGAGGTATACACTAAAAAAAAAGAAAAAAGAAAATTCAGTGCTCCTGAATTCTCTGCACCAAAAATAAGGATTATGGCCATAATAACCAAAATGGTAAAACAATAGAAAATATTAATTAGTATTACTTAAATCAATGGTTCAACACCTTGGAAAATGTTATGCAGCTGGTATAAAAAAAAATTAGGAACCCAATGAATCAAAGGGAAATGTTTAATTTATTTAGTGAAATAAGCAAAACAGAAACTTAATTATGTTTTAATTCCAACTACGTAAAATATACATATGGACATAAACAAGTTAGAAAGGAATACAACCATGGGTTTTGGTGGTAGAATTGTAAATTTAAGTATTTGTAAAAACTTATTATAATGCTGCTTTACAAGTGATTAAACAAAAAAACACATGGCCATACTGCTCCCCAACTACTGCATAAAGAATTATTTCCAGAGTGCACCAGGAAGACTGTCTGCAGGGCACCAGAGACCCCAGCAGCACCAGAAGGAGGACCACTCCGTTGTAGCTGTTATACAATGAAGGACAACCCCTCAAGTACAGAACATAGCTGCTTTCAAAAGCTATCATTTGCTATTCATTAGCACTGGCAAACATACCATATAAATACTAGGCAAACACCTTTCCAATTCATTAAAAACTCAATACCAGAAACAAAAAGAGGGCAAAAAAACTTTTTTTAACTAAAAAAACCAACTCAATACCAATAAAATATAGTCTAGAGGCAAATATTAAAAGTTCATTAGTGTTTGGGGATAGGATACATCAGAAAGTTGTTATGCCCCAAACTAAGAAAAAACTGGCACAGCTTTAAGATGAGAGCAATTAGCTACCTTTCTCCTCATTTTAATATGACACTTCTGCACAACTAGTTTTTTGTTTTGTTTTAGTTTGTTTTTAATTTTGAAAAGCATTTTCCACCCATATCCCTAATGAAGCTTGAAATTAACATGGCCTTTTCAATTCCTTCTTTGTGCACCAGCACAAAATGAAGTTTGGATCTAGGAAACATCACCAAGTTAGAAGCAGGATAATATTACAGAGAATCATGTCTTTTTTAAGCCTTAAAGCAGGGTTGATAGAAATGTGGTTGGCTCATTGCTCCATCTTCTCTGCCTGAACTGGGCCCTAAACGGCCCACCAGTCATTGAAATGTCCACAACATGCTCTTTTCAGTCAAAAACATAGGCAGGGGGTGTGCAGAGCTAATTCATCTTCTTTGGGATAAAAATATTGCCTTAAGAAGGTAGAGAATTGCTTCTATTCAGAAAGGTAAACTTTATGAAGAGTACATGTACGACCATATCATAATTCTCCTACACACAACACACACACAGAGAAAAGCTTTTCACTCTATTTGGCTTCCTAGAAAAGGAATAAGAAACCTAAAGTCTAAGAAACTTGGATTTTAGTCGTGACTTCATTTACCACCTGACTGAAAAGTAAGAGACAATATCTAACTCATAGGATTAAAATTAATAGTTTCTCTGTTTGGGGGTTTTTGGCTTTTTGTGCCACGTGCGCCACCAGGGAGGGCATTTATTACTGAGCACATTGGAGAAATGACTGGATGCGGTCAACCCCGCCCCCAGCAGCAGGGACCCCTGCCTTTGACAGAATACTCTATAATTATTACTACTAAGCAAATAATAGAAGGAAACAGGACAGTTCTGAGGAAGAAAAAGTGAAATGATTTCTTACAAAAACAAAAATGGGTAACTACGAATTTTTTAGTATTCACTTGTCAGGACTGAGTTCAAGTCCAATTTTCCTGTTACTTCTTTGTACTTACCATGACAGGAGGACAAGATTAGGAGGAGAGATCCCCGTCCCTTCTTCAATATCTGGCAAGGCTTTTCTTTCCTTTATGCCTGGGTCTTGAAAAAGTAAAAGAGAGAGAAAAAGGACAAAATTGGGAATTTCTCCCCAAATGGCCATACCTTAATTAAAGGAACTACATACACATGGACCTAAAGACTTGACCAATGTCAGTCAAGAAAAAGTTGGCTATCACCCAGCCAATTCCCAATAATCAAATCTAAACTCCATAATTCCCCTGTGAAAATCTTCCTAGTCATAACCTATTTGGGCAAAAAAGTTGCAAAGGCTTATGTTCCTGATGTTGATAGTAATATGAAAAATATTATAAAGCTTAGATGAAAATAATAAAGCAATAAAATTAAAACCAACCAGCAAATACAAAAATAATATTCTTGCAATATTACAGGATGTTGTTGTGGTGATCTGTAACTTCAAAATGAATCTCCCCATCTGTGGGAACTAAACTAGTTTATTTAGTAAACAAACTATGAAAAAATTTGCCTTTTTGTCCCAATATTCTATACTCACTGGAAACACACATAAACCGTGCTAATACCTCCACCTGGCTTTTAAAAACAACTATAAGGATGAGGGAGGAATACCTAAGTGGAAAATCAAAGACAGGCTAGTAAGAACATTAGCAAGTATTTTAGAAAAAAAATAATTTGTTTCATGCAAAGCCATGATTTCTGGTTTGCTAAACTTCCATGAATATAGGAGATTTTGAGGAGTCTAGGATGATTCAATATTCAAAGTAAACTCATTATGAGCAGTGAAAGTGAGGGAATAGAGGACATGAAAGAAGTAGTAGGGCCCAGAACACGTACAGCCTTGAGCAGTTGTGAACAGAGGAGTGCTATGAGGTGACTTACTTTAAAGGATGGCTCTGGCTATAGGGTGGGAACAGACTAGACTGCTGGGGGGCTAAGGGACACAGGAGGAGGCAGGAAGATCTATTAAAAGATAGTAGTGATGGAAACGATGAGTATCGTTAGACTCTGGATATATTTTGAAATTACCACCCACAGGATTTAAGCTAATGAATTAGGTAAGAGAAGTCAAACTTTTTAGCCTCAGTAACTAGAAGCCAAGATTTCCCATTTACTGATGAGAAAAGACCATAAGAAAAATGGATTCCCCGCTGTGTGCAGAGGTACAGGAGGGGGAACAGGGAATCAAAGGTTCTGTTTTAGACATGTTATGTTTGAGATGCCTATCAGATATTCAGTTGAAGATATCAAGTAGATATCTTCAATGTCCATCAAATGATGAATAAAGAAATATGGTACATCCACACAGTGGAATACTATCCAGCAATTAAAAGGACTGAAATACTGACAAGTGATACAACATGAATGACATCACATTAAGTGAAAGAAGCCAGGCACAAAGACCACATATTGCATGATTTCATTTATATCAAGTGTCCAGAACTGTAAATCTATAGAGATAAAAAGATTAAGTGGCAGTTCAGGAGTTAGGATGAGGAAGGAACAGAGAATGATTACTCATGGATATAGAGTATCTTTGTGGAGTAATGTAAATGTTCTGAAGTTAGACAATGGTGGTGCTTAGCACAACATACTAAAAACTCCTGAACTCTGTATGGTTTTAAAGGGCGAGTTTTATGTGATATGAATTACAGCTCAATTAAAAAAAACTGTAGGTGAGGAGCATGAATGTAATCAAACCCTTCATGAAATACTAAAAATAATCTTACTGCAAAAAAGTTATGGGACCACACTGCTATCTGGCTGTAACTGTATTACTGCCTCTGAGACCTTGAGGGGTGGGTTGGTACCTATTCTGTAGCAGAAATGTAAACAGAAACAAATATGCTTTTTTTTTCTATTGAAGTCTGGTTGATTTACAGTGTTGTGTTAGTTTCTAGTGTACAACCGTGTAGTGATTCAGTTATACATCTTTTTTTTTCATATTTTTTGCATTATGGGTTATTATAAGACATTGAATATAGTTCCTAGTCAGACGTCATTGTTTATCTATTTTATATATAGTAATGTGTATCTGCTAATCCCAAACTCCCAATTTATCCCCACCACCACCACCTTTCCTCTTTGGTAACCGTAAGTTTCTTTTCTGTGTCTATGAGTCTGTTTGTTTTGTAAATAAGTTCATTTGTGTCATTTTTTTTTATATTCCACATATAGGTGATATCATATGAAAAGAAAAAAGATACAGGACCGATCCAGGACCAATGAGCATTCTAAGCATCTAGACTATGGTCTATAAATACTAATTTCCACTTCAAAAAGAGCCCAGGCTCCTTAGAAATAATAGCCAATTACAGGTCAAGAACAGAAAATGTGTAAGTTGCTTCTGGAACATATTAAATTGGAAAGCAAGGGAACTATCAAAGATTATTAAGGGTATGTCAAAAGGACTCAAGAGCCAACCTGAACAGAATCACTGACTAAAAACTTCCTACTTAACACAGCATCTCGTCTTTCAGGCATCTGTTAAGAAGAAATCATTCCATTTCTTACTCAATAGCTGTAATTTAGCTCAATAGCTCAGCCAAGTAAGCTACTGAATGACTTAGACTACAAGGACACATTATATGTACTATATGAATCCTTCCCTACATAGAAAGGAACGAAACAGTATCCTGAATTAACAAGATGATAACTAATCTCTCCTAGGACCACAGAATCTAATTCTTCTCCCTTATTACCAAATACACACACAGAACACAAAAACAAAAGTCCTAATTAAAACGAAATCATACTGAGAAAACATTGGATTCAGGGAATGTTTATGTGAACTGAAAATTCAAATATGAAGATAATTCTTGCTTTCAAGGTGTTCACAATCCTGTGGGATAACAAACATAATAAGACAGTAGGATAAGATGTAGAAATATACTTCCATGGGGATGCAAAAGACAGAAATGGATTCTTATCTGGGCACTCAAGGCAGGCTTTGTGGAACACTCGGTTTTTAATGGCTGAACCAGCTGGACTATGAGCTACTAAAACAAAAGGGGAACCAAAGCAACAACTTTTCTTTTCAATAAACTTAGATAATTTCATAAATTAAACAGAGGACAGAAACAAGATGCTGTAATAAAGACTTAGGTAGTAACAGATCCACACAAGTCTATAAAAAAGGGACAGGACAGGGATTAATACCCACACTGCAAACAGGACTGAAACTTTTAAAAACTTATTTTCTAGTTAAACATCACATTAGTACCACTAAGTCTAGTAACGAGGCCTTGATTTTCACAGATTTAACAATTTAAGAAAACTCAAAGTTTCAATTAAAAGCTACTTCATCATGTTAAAAACTATTTTAAACAAATGATTAAGGCTCCAACTCATTTAATCTCAATTTAAATACAAGATTTTAGGCACAGTATATTGTACTATGGCACAATCATATATGGAAAAAATAATCTGACTTGAGTCCTAGTGGGGAAAAAAAACTCCACCAAATTTAGAGATTTAACATTAAAGTGAACATAAAAGAGTTCATCTAAATAATTATGTATACAGATAAGCAGACCTCCAAAATTTATCTGTAAATTATCTTTTTGCTGCCTCAAAACAGCAGAGTGTAATATGGGGTTGGGGGTGGAAGGACAAACTTACCAAATGAAGTTTATCCCAAGAACTTTTTCTACTAGAAGGGTTTCACAAGAAAATCTGCAGAGAAAAAAAAAAAGTAGTTTTACAATGACAAATACCCTAAGTATCAGGTCATTTAGATCTCCCCACAAGATTTTTCTCTACAAGTTGGAATGCCATGACAATACATTGTTTTAAACTGTTGCACTATGAACTATTTAGTCAACAACAGATTCTTTAGTGTTTAGTTGTGCAAAATGGGCTTGGTCAGGCCTCAGTATGTCTTTAGAAACTGCAGAACTGTACAGACAGAATTTTCCAAGAAACTATCAATACTCACATTTAAGGGTTTTTCTCTACCCCCATTTAAGGATTTTTCTCTAGCATTATTTCTGATGGCTTCTCAGGTAAACTTATGCCACTAAAGGAACAAGTATTTTCAAAAAACTAAGATCACAGGAGATCTAGGCTTGGACAAAGGATTCTTGTCACTAGACAACAATCTGACCTTCAGAAATTAAAAAAAAAAAAACCTTATCAACCCAATTCCTCTGCAATAATTTCTCTCAGTATTCGCAGACAACTCATCCTTTTGAGCTATTTACATGCCATGAAGTCACATATATAAACAAGACTGTATAAAATATCAAAATCCTAAAATAAGGAGTCCATTCATATAGTACGTTATTCCCATAACCTCCAGAAACACTTTTTACCATAAGAGGGGAGGCTAAATACGCAATAATAAAGTGTTTTAACCATTTTACACGAAGTATTTTTGTCTCTCAGTGACTTTTAATTTAAATTGTGTAACTCAGGCCATACTAACCATATGCTATATTGGAAAGGAAATAAGCTATTCATAATGTGCAATTTCAGATATAAATCATATTAGTATCAAGATTTGACCTTGACTGGTAAGTAAACTAAGGTATAACACGGTACAGCAGAAAAGTTCAGGGGTTTGTAAATCTGTAGGACCTTTTCTCGATAGAGTAATTTTTGCTGAGTATCTGAACACTGAAATACATGTTACAATTTTTTTGTTTTATTTTTCTTTTATTTTAGTAAGGTTATCAGTTTTAAAAATTGCATCTGTAAGTATATTATATCATCTATGAATTTTACGTAGGATAATAAGAAAACATTTGTTAAAAAGAACAGATGCTGGGTCTCTTTGTTCTTATCTATTTAAAAAAAAGAACCAGATAAAATAGCATATATGAAGGCACATTGCACTTAAGTATTAAATACAAAAAACTGATGAGACATATAGTTCATCGTAAGCCAAGATGTGTTAGAGTACTACAAGGTTAACTGTCCAATGACACGCAAGAGCTCAAAGTTCAGGGGAGAGATAACCCAGGGAGTTGTCACAGGCAGTGGAGAACAAGTGGGTCTTAGAGATTAGGTAGAATTTAAATAAAGAGGGAATGGAAGCCAAGATAGGATGGCTATTAATACCACAGTGGGAAGAAAGCACGATATTTTTGAGAAATAGAGAACAGGTCAGAGTATCAGTAGTGTTCAGGAAGACAAAACTAGAAAGAAAGGACACAGCTGTGGACCTTAAATGCCAGGCTAAGGAGTCTGTATTTCATTCAACAGCACGAAACCAAAAGTTTTATTAGCAGGGGGAAAACACGAAAGTGGTACTAAATAGTAGAAAGCAAGGAGGATGGTCTGGAAGGGGAGAGTCACCTAGGATGTTTCTCGACCAGTAGTTCAGGTATGAATTGCTAAGGGCTCAGTATCTCAAGGATAGTAAAAATGCAGAGGAAGACACCAAAGTGAGTTGAAAGCATTAATTGCCTGAGCTTGGTAATTGATGAGGAACAGGGGGGAAAAAAAAGAGGCAGAGCAAGGTGTCAAAGATAACTGTAAAATTTTAAGGCCTGTATTAAGTAGGAAAAAGATGGTTAAGAAGTTAGATGTTAAGAAACAAAGGGTAAGGGGGGAGAGAGGGTATAGCTCAAGTGATAGAGTGTATATGCTTAGCATATACAAGGTCCTGGGTTCAATCCCCAGTACCTCCTCTAAAAATAAATAAGTAAACCTAACTACCTCCCTCACTAAAAAAATAATTTTTTTTAATTTAAAAAGAAACGAAGGGTAGAAAAATCAGCTATGATACACTGACTTTAAAGGTGGCTTCTGAAGTGGATGTATATCCAGCCAGTAACTAGAGGTAAAACAGGATTAAATTCAAAAAGACAAGTCAAGTCTAAGGGTAAGAATGAATTGACTGCATTAGATTTACTTCAAGGAAATCACTGTTATCTACTACAAGAAGCATCTGACATGTTTGAGAAATTATTTAATTTATTCTGCCAAAGATGAGAAGTCCATTAACACAGAAGTGCTTGTGTAAAAGTTTCCATAGGAGTAAAGTTCCAGGACAAGAAACAAACAATAGGAAGACTCACCAAAAAGACTGAGGCGGGTCTACTTCAATGGCGGCAATGACTCCTCTTACCAATAACCACAACCAAATACCTACTTGGTTGGAAACAAGTATGTCATTGTGAAATATTGCCAACAAAATATTTTAAAAACTGCCCATGCCTCTTAGGACTATTTGCTAGATAAAGGCCATGCGGAGGTGAATCTGAAGGAAGCTCTCTAGTGCCACAAGCTACCTTCTCAAGAAACCAGAAGGTATCTTGTGTTACCAGTCATATATACCTCAAGAGTAGGAACAGTTCGGGTGACCCTGAACAGTCATATAACTCAAGAGGTAGAATGTAAAGTGGTTATGTTAAATCAAAGCAATTACTTAAAGTGTCTAACAAGAGATTCTTAAACACATTAAACCACTAATAAGCAGCTAGCCAGGGCAGTGAGGTGGGGCAAGGGTTAACTATGGTCACCCCTAAGTTCCATGGTGGGGGGTTGTTGAAAGAAAAAATCTTTCTGAAGTTACCTGAAATAAGAGAAAATTCTTACAATCATGTATTATACTATGGACAGAATTTTATCTATTTTAAGAGAAAACCCTAAAAAGAAAAAAAACATACTTGATTATTAAATATTATAATACTGGATATTACTGTGCAGTTGCATTTTGGAGAGGGGAACCTAACAAAGCAGTCTCCTTCTGTAAGAGAATGAGGTAGTGAGGTAATGATTTAGAGGAAGACCATGGAGGCCCCAAGAAGGCTAATAAGGAATGGACCCTGGCATGGAATAGCTTGTTTTCAACTGTATGCCACTACTGTATCAGTTGCAACATGGGCAAAGAGGCAAGGGGGCACACCAGTCTGACCCATTTATATAATAAAAGAATCCAAACTACCAAAACCAATTAGACCAAACCAAATTCACAAGGGAAAACTTAGAGACTCAAGTCCAGTCCTCCTAAAATGTGTGTGTGTTTACTGGGGAGGGGACAAGGGTGGAAGAGGGTGCTAAAGTGTACCCTGGTCAAAAAAGTGCTGCTTTAACTTCAAAAGAAAAATGAAGTATTTCTTACAAAGTCCTGTCTCACTTTCAAATGCCCGATAATTACAGGTTCAAAACTTTTTAAGAAGGCAACATTGAACAAAAGAATACTTTCACAGTATGTCAAAGAAATGACTTTTCTTGCACATGCATTGCGTATAAAGAAAAACTGACAGCAAAACTTGAGTGTGGAGACAATATAAAGTAATTCAGAGATATTAAAATTTAAGTGAATTTACAACTGCCACTACTTCGGGCAAGTTTTTCAGCTTCTTAAGTATTTCCTCATTTATGTCTAGTAACTTTTTGGATATCTGATGGATGATATGATCTTCCCAAACTAGGATTCTATGGCATGTTTGGACGATTAATTCCATGGTGATGAGATGATATAATCACTAGTGTTACTCAAAATCCAAGCATTTATCAGTTCAGTAAAACTAGTGTGGTTTGGACTTACTCCCTGAACAGGACCCCAAATCTCAGGTTTTCTAAAACGTTTGTTGCTGAAGTCAACTATAAAAGAAAACAGAAACTGAAAGACAGTTCAAAAAGCATGACTGCATTCACCTGTTGTGATAAGTTCCCTGTGGTGAGGATCATTTTTTGACAAACACTTGGGGGTGACAGGCACTGCTCTGGGCACTAGGAATGCAGCAGTTCCTACCCTTAAAGAGCTGCAATTCTAGTGTCAACTGCAATATTCTTATAGGG